TATGAAAAATTACCATCATTAACTTTCATTCCCCCTACCACAATAATGACAACCTAAATTGTCTGTATTTCAGTTCTCTCACAAAGCACAAAAGTAATTTTTTCCTTTTGTTAATCATAAAAATAACAAGGACATACATTTTCCTGGCTTATTTATTCCTTGTATTAATGTCAGTTGCTAAGGAGAAAGAAAGGGTTTCTATTGTTTCTGTTGAAAGAAGGTTGTGTTCAGGTGCCCCAGAACGTCATTAGCGATAGAGAGTCACCTCTGTATTCTGGTGAGTTCCTTTTATTCCCTGGCAGAACGGTGACATAAAGGAGACCCAGTCTTTAATCTTCTCCCTGTTGGCGGGAAGAACGGTTCAGCTGCTGTGTGGCAATAATAGCTCTTGAGCTCATTTTGAACCCAGAAGGATTAATTTATTTTGCTTAGAACAGGCTATGGGAATAGCTACCAGTGAAATAGGACTTTTTTCTTTACCAAGTAGTTTAAATGGCCCACTGGTTCCTCACTATGTCTGTATCTACACTGCTGAATGAACCCTCATGCTGCTTCTGGGAGGAAAGCTCAGAGAGGTAGGAGGAGAAGTCAGAAATAAAAGCAGTCTTCACGAGGCATGGGTTTATGGCTTCAGCAATAATTTCTATGGTGTTCTGTAGTGAACACCCTTACCTGTCAGCACCATTTCCTAGAAGTCTCCAGGTCTCTCCCTACCCTCTTAGTAAGTGCATGTTTTAGGAAGCGTGTGCACGAATGGATTTATGGGACTTGCATCTTCTTTTCTGTTGATTTATATGACAATTTAAAAGAAAGCTTTGGGGCTTTGGGTCAAGTTGAAACAGATCAAGCCTTCATGCTTGGCTTTAGCATTTGTTACCTCCTCCAAACAGCCTCTTCCAGCACCATAATCTTCCCCTCCAGCAGATAAGCAGGTGTGAGAATCCACTTGGGTACTTCTGCTAGCACCAGGAGCCCCTCTTAAAAGGTGAAGATATCGAGGCTGGAGAGATGGCTCAGCGGTTAAGATTAGCACTGGCTGCTCTTGCAGAGGACCCAGGTTTGATCCCTAGCACCCATATGGTGGCTAACAGTCTGTAACTCCAGTTCCAGGGGATTCAATGCCCTCTTCTGACCTTCGCAGGCATTGCATGCCATGAGTGCACTTACATACGTGCAGGCAATACACTCATACATATAAAATAAAAACAATAAATAAAACATTTTTTAAAAAGTGATGATACCTTCAGGGCCACATACAGTCCCTCCCTGATAGAAGTAGCTTGTACAGACATTTGTATAATATGTTGGTTTGTGCAGAATGCATCTGGGGTGAGATGTGCCCCTCCCCCATCTACTTATAGTCTAGTTTCAGCTCCTAGTCCAGAATTGTCACCTTATTTGGAAGAAAGTCACTGAAGAAATGGTTAGTTAAGCTGAGGTTATAATGGAATAGAGGTACCTCCTAATCAAGTTAGACTGGGGGTCCTTGTAAAAAGGGAAAATTGGACCCAGAGGTATGTGCATATAGGGAACACCATGTGAAGGTTGGGGTTTTGCAGCCACAAGCCAAGGGACCAGCAGAAGTTAGGAGACAAGCTTGAGATGGTCCCTTCCTTCCCCAGGGCTTCACAGGGAGTATAGTCCTGTCCACACCTTCATTTCTGACTCCCAGCCTTCAGAACAAGTGAGGTAATAAGTCTCTGTTTTTCTAAACTTTGTTATAGCAGTCTTAGGCAGCTAATATAGTCTTTTTTGTTATTGGTTGATTGGTTTGTATTTGAGACACGGTCTCCCTATAGCCCCAAGCTGACCTGGAGTTCACTATTTTGACCTGGCCTCGATCTCACAGATAACTGCCTGCCTCTGTTGGGATTAAAGATACACACCACCACATCCGGCTAATATAATGACTTTTAAAACTATTTTAAGGAGTTGATGAAATAGCTTAGGAAGCAAAGTGCTTGCTAGACTAGCATGGACTTGAGTTTAATCCCTAGCACCTTCATAAAAAGCCAAACATGGAGTATGCTTCAAATGCCAGCGCTGGGAGGTAGAGACAGGTGGGTCCCTGGAGCTTGCTGACTCGCCAGTCTAGCCTACAAATGAAACACCTTGTATCAAAATACAAAACAGGAACTCCTGAGAAATGACAGCAAAGTTGTCCTCTGGCTTCCAACACACACACACACACACACACACACACACACACACACGCACACACACACACTCAACTATTTTAGCCACAGAGTGAAGGCTGCCACTTTGCATTTGAGTTTGCAGCTCTGGGTTTCTAAGCATGTTTATTGTTAAGCATGTTCTAAGCATGTTATTGGTTTATCATGTTTTGTTTCATACATAGTAGACACTGTCATCTTATTTCTCACCTGTCATGTCCAATGAGGAAATAATCCCTGCTGGTGGTTCTGATGGACATCACCTCATCCCAGTGGCATTTAAACATCTTCTGCACAGATTGCATCTTTTCCTGGCTATTTATACCAACTTCTACACTGGCACTTCTGTGAGACACAGACATAAAGTACTAAACTGATTCAGATACCAAATTAGGAAGAAAACCTATTCGTGTTTTATATTTAAATTCAAATAAAATTGACGATCTCCTTGACTCATTTTTAAAGACTGCCTAATAATTTGCATGATGAGTCTCATTTCAATTATTTCTACTCTAGAAAATAAACTTGGACTCTAGATCTGGCTCATTATCAATTGAAAATACTCTGTTCATCTTGAGATTTAATTCGATTCTTGATTCCACAAATTATTATCTGTTTCAATGTTCTTTATAATTTCCAAAGAGAAGACGAAAATAGGTTATATAAACATTTCTTAAACTCTACCATGGCTTTATAAAATAGTAATTCCACTCACATAACTCCCTTTACCCACCACCTAAGTGAACCAAGGTCCTTAACTAAATGTTATGAATTAAAGATTGATCAATACTTAACATGAAATAAGTATTACACTACCTTCTACCCAAATTGATAATTATGTTTATTATTTTAGTTCTTTTAGAACCACAAATATTATAACAGGTTTTAAGCCCTTGGGGTTTTTTTGTTTGTTTGTTTGTTTTGGTCAGTGATTTAGGTTTAAATTTTTATGCAACCTGTTAGCATTTGACTTGGCCACATTTGTTGTAATAAAGGTTTTCTGGCTTTGGTACACACCCATCAATTTTGATGGAGCCTCGATGTTGATGGTCTTTGTAATAGGAAAGACTAAGGCCCTTTCCCCCACTCTTTGACAGAATAAAAAGCCGCTTTTTCCAGAAGGCCTGAAAAATGAAAAGATTTTGTAACTCAGTTAAATCTCAGAAGAGAAGGACTTTTTTCAAATGCTCACAAGGCTAGCGGGAGGCTTGTTAAACTGGAGTGAGGACTTACTGTGGAGAAGAAAAGCTGAGGAGGTGGCGACTTAATGAAGTAATCTTGTTTATAGACTTCATTTTCATAATCAAATGTAAATTGTTTGCCTAATAAAAGAAAGTGAACAGGATTCAGTTTGTTCTCTCATAAATTTCAGAAAAGAACGGCTTCATTTGGAAAACATTGTTTATCTCTGGCAAGGTCTTCAAATTATTCAGTTATTCAAAAGAACACGCACAATAGCCACTGCATCCCCGACCCCCCCAAAGAATAAGTGAGGATCAACAGCTGGCGCTGTCATCTGATGTTTAGACACAGCTTCATTCAGCTTACATCTATCCCTAGGTGTGAGTAAAGGGTCATCTCTATTTCTATAGCAAGAGCAAGATAATGCTGCCTTGCCCTTCGGCTTAGCAAGTAAAAGCAAAACCACCTGCTAGTAAAAAGGAGGTACAATATTGAACTCAGTATAAACCCTATAAGACATAAAATTGAATGAGGTTTTAACCTTTAAAAAGGATCTCCATTTCATTTTAAAATATACTGTTTCCTACAGACAGACTCATTTTTAATGCTGCTAACACTTAGATGTTTGCACATGCCTCTCTAATCTCTATGTATCTGAGTATTACTAGACACAGTCGGTTACACTCCGATCCTTGGCATCACGTAGATTTCAATGGTAATGTTTATCAGCTCTATTAATTAAAATGAGGTACATTTTATGCGTCTTCTAATCATGTGGTTATTAAATAAATAACTTTTTTAAAAAGGAGGCACAGAAGTGTTTTTCTCTTGTGGGGCAGCAGGTAGAGTGCTTTCACTGAAGGAAGGGCAGGTCAGAAGAGCTACCTAATCTGAAAGGCTAGGTACAATGATCTCAGCATCCATATTACACAATCCTGATTCCATTTTCACTTGACAAAGAAACTTCAAATCTTTGGTAAGGTCTGCCTTTTCTAAATCTGAGAGCACAATAGATCTACAGCCTGTGATGGGAAAGAAAACCAAGCCCTTAAAAAATAAAAATTGCCTCTAATTCCAGTCTTACAGAGAAGCAGTTATCATGAAGGAGCCTCTTAACCACTTTTGCCATCTTATTTTCAACAGCAGTTAATCCTACTTTTGTTTGCTAGGCGAAAGGGCAACACACACAGAAACACACACACACATGCACACACGTATGCACACACACAGAGTTCTCAAGTACTCAGGAGTATTGATGCACACATATGTGTGTCACAGAAAGATTAAAAAGATTGAAGTGACCACATAGGGCCAGAAAACTGCCTGTTTCCTCCAGCTAGACTGGAAAAAGTTATAATTTATAGGACAGCAGGTAGAATACTCAGGAAAGGTTTGCCTCAGCAGTGGGGAATAATTAGCTCTAAACTGAGGACTCTGCCAGACCCACATAACAAATCATAAAAGCAAGTCTTAGAAGATAAAGTTGTTCCCAAGAAACTTAAGATTTATAATAAAAAAAATAAACTCAGTACCCAATAAGGTAAAATTTGCAATGTCTGGCAGGCAGTCAAAGGTGACCAGGCATGTAGAAGAGGCAGAAAAATATGACATGAAGTGAGGGGAATAACTAATCAATCAAGACAGACCTAGAACTGACAGACACTCAACTTTCCAGAGAAAGTCATTTGAACTGTTATTTTCAAAGTGTGGGAGAGGTATAAGATGGAAAAACCCAGAGTGAACTTTTGGAGATGAAAACTATGATGTTTCAGGGGAAGAAATTAACAGCAAATTGAGTAGGACAGGAGAAAACAGCAGTGTACTGAAGGCAGCAATGTGGACCATCAAAATAAACAGGAAATTTAAAAAATTCAAGAGCATAAAAAGTTCATGGGCATGCTGGGGACAGTCTCAAGTGACCTAATATGGAAGCAGTTGAAATCACCTAAAGTGAGGGACGGCAACAGAAAAAATATTCAAAGAAATAATTATTAAAATTTTACAAACTTAAAATTATAAACTGAGACTCAAGTTCTATGTTCGATGAACTTCATTGTTCTAGTTTCTTTTCAACTGCTGTGACAAAACACTCTGACCAAGACCAACTTGGGGAGGAAGGAAGGGGCTTATTTGGCTTAACTCTCCCAGGTCACAGTTCATCACTGAGGGAGCCCAATGTAGGAACTCAGGGAAGGAACCTGGAGGCAGGAGTTGATGCACAGGCCATGGAGAAACACTGCTTACTGGCTTGCCTCCCTGGCCCATGCTCAGCCTGCTTTCTTAAACAATACAGGGACAACCTGCCTGGGGTGGCACCTCCCACAGTGGGCTGGGCCCTCCCACACCACTCAACAATCAAGAAAATGCCCCACAGACATGACAACAGGCCACCCACTCCAATGGAGACAATTCCCCAACTGAGGTTCCCTCTACCCAGGTGTGTCAAGTTGACAAAGTTATCCAGCACATTCAAGAAATACAAGATACTGGGAAAGAAACACACTGACACACCTCAAAATCAAATTACTGGTAAATGGTACAAGCTACAAGTTAATAGTAAAGAACAAGAAATCTCAAAAGCAGCTATTGGAAAAAAGACAGTGCACACAGAACAAAGATAAGTAAGAAAGGTGCTTCATTTCCAATAATGCAAGCAAGGAAAAATGGACCATCATACAGCACTGAAGAAATGCTGTCACTCAAAATTCTTTGAAAAATGCAAGCAATTTGGAGACATTTTTGAATATGCAAATTCTGAAAGAATTTCATCACCAGGAAGCTTCCACTATAAGAAATGTTAAAGGACTCCTGACGGAAGGAAAATTACATGTATTGAAGGCATGAAGAATGCTAATGTAGAAACTACAGCTGTAGACATGTGAGATTGTTTTTCTTATTATCTGACGCATTAAAAAGTCAATGGACTAAACAAAAAGAGTGATGCACTGTTAAGATTATAGTAGGTATATAAGTAAAGCAAATTCCAATAGTTGCACAAAGGCTGGGAAGGGAAAATGGAAATTTACGTCTGTAATGTCCGTGTATTATCTGTGAATAAGTACACCATCTCTTGAGGTTAGACTGTTACATGTTAAAAAAATATATAAACCCTAAAGTAATGACTTAAACAATAAAGATGGTGGCATGGAAACAAAGACCAAATGAGAAAAACACGAAATGAAATTCATCCATATTTCACATAGACCTTTTGGAAAATATAGAAAAAAAACACACTGCAATATGATATACTCAAGCCTGAACACAGCAATAGTCACATAAAATTTAAATACTCTAAACACCTCAATTAAAAGAAAGAAATTATCAGCATGGATAAAATAAACCAAACTCTATGCTGCTTATAAGAAACACACTTTAAATATAAAAGTCACAAGTCATTTACAGGTAAATATTAGAAAAAAGATACATTATACTAACATTAGTCAAACGAAAGCAGTCAGCTGGGTCTGGTGGTACACATCTTTAGTCCCAGCATTTAGGAGACAGGGGCAGGTAGACAGAGCTCTGTGATATCAAAGTAAGCCTGTCTACATAAGAGTACCAGGCCTCTCTGGGGCTACAGAGAGACTGTGCTTGAAAAACAAGCAAGCAAGCAAGCAAGCAAGCAAACAAACAAACAAAGGAAACAGAGTAGCTATCATAGTATCATGTAGATTTCAAAGAAAATAATATTGTCAGGGATAAAGAAGATCATTTTACATAACAGAGGAGTCAGTTCACACTGAGAGGATATAGTAATCCTAAACATAGATGTGCTCAGTAACAGAGCTTCAAAATACACAAAGCAAAACCTAACAGAACTACAAGGAAAAATAGATGTATTCAACATTGCAGTCACAGATTTAAACTGTCTCAATATCTGAGAGAACAAATAAGGGACAGATCAGCAAGGGTCTAGTAGTCTTGAATAACACTATCAACAAGCTTAACCTGACTGATATTTAGAGAACTTTCCACAACCACAGAATACTGGTTCTGTTCTGCTCAGGGTTGCATCATTACACTTTCCAATAGAAACTCTTGGTAAACTAGAAGGAAAAGGAAGTGCCCTCAACTAAAACAAGCTATCTGTTTTTGTTTTCAGATTTATAGATAACATCAAAGATTGACAACTTGTTCTCTGAGGTCAAGAAAAAGGTGTTCACTTTTACCCCATCCAGGGCAATTAGGCAAGAAAAAAAATGCATTCAAATTGGAAAGATAGACGTACAACTCTCCCTATTCACAGATGACATGATCCTATATGTAGAAAAATCTTAAAAAGCCACAGAAAACTACTAGAGTTAATGGACAAATGCGGCAGTATATAAAATCAGCAAACAAAAATTTGCCGTATTTCTATAATCTCACATAAATAATCTAAAAGTGAAATTAAGAAAGTAATTCAATTTATTATAGAATCTCTCAAAATGCATAAGGATAAATTTAACCAAAGTAGTGAAAGCTTGGCATGCTGGAAACTACTGGAAGAAATTAAAAACAACATAAATAAATGGAAATATATTCCATATTCACGGATTGGAAGACTTAATATTTTAATATGTCATTATTATCCCTGAAGCACTCTACAGATTCAATGCAATTTTTATCAATATTCTAATGATATTCTTTTGCATAAATAGAAGAGTTTATTCAAAAGATCACATAGAATTCTAAGGTGTCTTGAGAGGCTAAAACAATCTTAAAGAACAGAATTAGAGTATTCAAATCTCTTTTTAAAAAACACTACTACAAACCTGCAAGACTTAAGAACATGGTATAAAGACAGACATAGAGATGAATGTAATAGAATTGAGAATGTAGGAGTAAATGGCCAAGACCACTCAGTGGAGAGAGTACTTTACCTTTAACAAAATCCTTTCAGGACAACTGTGTACTCCAATGTAAAACACTGGAGTTGGGCCTCTATACCATGTCAAACAAAAAAGTTCACTCAAAAGGATTCAAGACCTTTACATGAGAAGGAAAACCATACCACTTGGCAGCAAACAGGGATAGTTTTCATATTTGTGAACTTGACAATGAATTCTTAGATGAGCTACTCAAAAGCACAAGCAACAAAAAATACAAATATTGGACTTCACCAAAATTAAAAACTTTCATACATAAAAATTATCAAAATAGTAAAACTAAAACCTAGAATGGGAGAAAATACTTGTATCTGACAGTAAAGCTTGTGGTTGACCCGGGCAGGGAGAAGGGGGCGCAGAGAGAAGATGCTTAACAGATAAGAGCTTTTGTTCTTGAGTGATGGTAATGTTTTAAAATTAGATAGAAGATATTATTCTATAATATTGTGAATGTACTCAATAGCATTGAATTATGTACTTTAAAATGATTAATTTTTCCTTAAAATCTGTTTCAGAAAGTTCTAGGGTAGGAGTAGAGCTGTAGTCAGAGGTTGAGTGCTTGCCTAGCATGTAGGAAGCCCCAGATTCAGTTTATACCACCACACACACACACACACACACACACACACACACACACACACACACTTAAAAGGCTGTAAAGTAAAGGGATATACCTCCATACACATATTTGTCATAAGTGTTCATTGCAACTTTGCTTGTGATAGCTGAAGACAAGAAGCAATCCAGTTGTTCATCAAAGGATGGATTAGTGGATTGTCATAGACCTATGCAATGGAACAGTATTTAGGACTGAAAAAGAAACAGACTATTCATGTGTGTATCAAGATAGATGAAGCTGAAAAGACTTCAGCTTAGTGAAGAATCCAGTGACTGGGGCTATAGCACAGTTGGTAAAATGTTTGCCTAATATGCATGAGGCCCTGGGTTTGATCTCCAGCATCATATTAATGGAACATGGTGGTGTGTGAGGCCAGCCTGGGTTACGAGAGACTCTGTCTGAGAGAGAGAGAGAGAGAGAGAGAGAGAGAGAGAGAGAGAGAAAGGATCCAGAAGACAGAGTGTTCATACTGTATGATTATATTTATATAAAATTCTAGAGTATACAAGTTAATTCATACAGACAGAAAGGGGATGAGTGGTTGTCTAGGGAACTGAACATGCATGGAAGAGTGGAAGACAGGGGAACAAGAGCACTTATTCATTGATGGATATACTCATTATCTGGATTGAGGTGATTTTTTTTTTCATGGCAGTATTCAAGATCAAACCTCATGCACGCTAGGCAAGTGCTCTACCACTGAGCTGTAGCCCCATTTTATGGTATTTTATATGGCAAAACTTATGAAATTATAGACTTAAACATATGGGTCTACTGTATGTTAATTGTACATCAATAATGATGTCTAAGATATCAAATACATTTGAGAAAGTTAAGCATATTTCTACATTATGATCCAACCATTCTACTCTTAGGTAAAGTAAAGGACTATAAAGGAAAACATATGAAATCAACCCCTGGCCTCCACATGTACACGTGTGTACACACCGTCAGGCACATATACACAAATCCACATGAATACGTACATATACCACATATATACACATATACAAAGTAAATATATATGCATACATATACATGCACAAATGTTCATATAATCTCTGTAATAGACAAAGATTGGAAATAACCTAGATGTTTCCAATAGGTGAGTGAATCATCCAATTATGACACATTCATACAATGGAATATTACTCATTAAAGGGACAAACTACTTAGACAGCACCATGATTGAATCTCGAAAGAATTATACAAAATGAAGGAAGTCAGATGAGAGTTACCACTGTCTGATCTACTTATATAAAATTAGCAAATAGAGTGACAGACAGAAAGCAAGCCATGGGGCATGGAGCAGGTGTCAGTGGTAAGGATTACAACCAGACATTGGAGAACTTAAAGAGCAATGGATAAATTCACTATCTTGATTGTGGTGAGGCTTTCCAAGGTGAATACATCTACCAAAAACGTATCAGATTATCTGATTTAAATACATGCAGTTTATTGTAGATTACAGCAAATCTGTTAGAGAATATGAACAGCCTAAAGTGAATGACCGTGCAAGTCCATGCTTCAAGGGTTACTGGTCATATGAGGCCAGGATCTGGCACAATTTTGTTCTACCTTTCTGCATCCTCAGCTCTTTTCTCCCATCTTACCTTATGACCCCATTCCTCTCTGACACATCCTCTGTTCTACTTCAGTGTTTTGGGTCATGTCTTCTTGTCTGTTGAGATGTGTTTCCTTTTCTAGTGTTTTTAAAAACCCTCCACAGGAGGCTGAGGAGATGGGTCAGTCATAAAGTACATACTACGTAAACATGAGGACCTGAGCTTGGATCTCCAGCATCCATGTAAAAGTTAGGTGTGGTGCTGCATCTTTAACCTCAGTGCTGGGGGTTGGGGGGGTGAGGCAAGGAGAAAGGTGGGTCCCTGGAGCTCATCGGCCAGTGAGCCAAACTGAAGTTCTGAGCTTTAGGTTCAGGGAGAGAGCCTGCCTCAAAAAATAATGTGGAGTATAATCAAGAAAGACATTTGACTTTGACCTCCTGCCTCCACATGCATACAAGTGTACGAATACCCCTCCACACCCATGTGATCATATATGTGCACCACACAAACACATACAAATAAAATAAAAATAAAATCCTCTATATCCCATAAGGTTCAGCTCAAACACCTTCACCATAAAATTTCTCTGGATTCCCATAGTTACAGCAGCTTTTTCTTCATCATAGTCCACAGTATTTTGTCCATATTTCATGAGCATGTCCTGATTATATGTGCTGATCTAAATTCCTTGTACAACTACTTGCCTGTGTTTACCTCAATTTCCCAACGAGATTATAAATTCCTGGAGCACAATGACTCTTCTGAATTAAGCTGTACATCCCCTACAGTATGAAGCACACACACTTTTAGTAATAGGTTCTTTGTAAACATTTTAAAGTTGAATTGGAACATTTGTTTTCAAGTTATTACATCTTAAACTTCTGTTCTAACCACTTCCCTATAATGAATTTTGTGAGTATGTAAGCAAGGGTGTTTGCACAATGTGCACTGAGCTGCCCTCCTAATAATCTTTGATGACAATTTAGGCAGCTCTCTAAATGAGAATTTCATGCACAATTAAAGGCATATGTCCCAGTCTTAGCTGGGCCATAATTTATTATAGGTACTGTCTTTAAGTCACAAATGGAAGATTTGGCCAATGAAAATCAGAAAATGCTAAATTTCTAGAAAAATCACCTCTTACAAAATAGTTAATTGATTCCCACAGCTTCTGCTACATCCTCTAGATCAAGAATCACTGTCCCATAATGACACCTGTTGTCCCCACTAAACCAATGTCTGTGTCCTGGGTAGCTTGATGGACCTTATTCATCACCTTTGGTGGAAAGATTTTTCCTACTGACAGTATGACCCTTGGGTACCTGGGCTCTTTGGAGGTCTGGTTTCCATTCTGGCTGGTTCTTCTCACCTGTCAGAAAGAAGGGTTAGGCAGCAGTTAGCCTCCAGGCATCAGTTGGCTACACTGACTAGCTATAGTACCACCAGGAATCAGTCTGGGGCTTACCAGTGCTGGTTCTTGTCTTCCCAGTTGTGTGTGTGTGTGTGTGTGTGTGTGTATGAGTGTGTGCATGTAGACAGAGATCAAAGTCTTAAGATTAAGGTACCTTCTCAAAGCCTCCTTGTGTACTTTGTCAGAAGCATGCCAGAGCTTCTTGAAGGCTAGTTTTCCTGGACCCTCAAGTCACATCTCCACTGCCTAGGGAAAGGTTTTCTTTCTTGAGGTGTCCCGGATTATAGCAGAAGTGATTATTTGAGCAAATTTTATGGGTCATTGCAGGGCATACATTGAAGAACTGATAGCCTTGGCCTTTACCTGGGTGTGATGGACCCATTCTGTTTTATGGAAGGCCTGGATAAAATGCCGAACTAGAGAGGCCAAAAGCCTTTTCTTCCTTAAAGAACAGCTCTGCACAAGAAGCACAATATAACCTGTTTAAAATCTTGCCCATCCCTCCAAAAGTACACATAATATTTTAAAAATTACCCTGAAAATTCATGAGCTTCTAGTCACATCTGTAATATCAGTACTAAGAAGGTAGAGGTCAAATGATAACAAGTTCAAGGCTGGCCTTGGCTACATAGTGAGTTTGATGTTAACCTGGGCTAACTTGAAATCTTATTTTTCAAAACAGCAACAACAACAGCAGCAGCAGCAACAACAACAACAACAACAAAAAGCCACAGGCTTTTTTCAATGTGAGACTTGCACTGCCTAAAGAAATAGGATGAAGCACTTCTCAGCCTACCCCTCCTCCAGCCTCCAGGCCTGTGAGACTCAGCCATCCATCTATGCATCATTTAGTTTGGTAATGGTGCAAAAAACTGAGCTCCCGTAGCTATGGAGGAGAGACTAGCTGTGGGTGATATATTTTAAAGTAATGTGTTTGCTGCAAAATGTTTGGGGACTATTTCTTATAAAGTAAATCATTTTCCAGATAAAATACTTAATTGCTTTAAAAGCTTTTATAGTTCATAAAGGAGAGGGATAAGATCTTCCCAAGTATACTAGTTTGAGAACATCCTCTGCTACACCGTTTGAACAGAATTCAGCCTGAATTCTGAAATTCCCTGGCACCAGAGCTCTGAGTGGAGCCAGAGGGAAGGCAGGACCCCAGGCACAGCACTGAAGGCATGCATTTGCATACACTGTGATTTTGGAAGGCTGTCCCATTCTGAGGGGGCTTATTCTGCAAATGAAAACCTGTGGTTTAGAAAGGAAGAGTGAAGTGATTTGTATCCAGTCCACCAGTGGAGCCGTACTGGACTCCACGTCGATGCTCATGAATATTTCCAATGACATCTGCTCTCCTTGTGCATTGGGAATGGCGAAGTGTGCTTTAAGGGCAGCTCTAGCTTTTGATACCCACCAAGGACTCCGAAGCCACCTATGGGGACTCTCTTCCACAGTCTCCCCATCTACTCTAAGATGGCACAACAGATACAGCCGTAGGGCGTGATAATTTAGTGTATTAACTGTGAAGTCTGCATTTAAATTTCACACCCCCCATCAATAAGGAAAGATGGGATCGTCAATACAGTATAGTACCCCTCTCTGCCTCCACTTAAATGGAGGCTATAACACCACAACTCTCAGGATGGTTGTGAGCCTCAGTAAACTACTCTGCTTTAGAGCACTCAGCATACAATAAAAGCTCAGGAATGCTAGCTACCAGGTCTTTCCTATCTCAAACATTTCATGCTTGTGTGATGGTTAATACTGGGTGGTATTAACTTCTGAGCAAGATGCATATAGAGCCCCATCACAACACTCTGAAGCTTGCATCATTTTGCAATGATGTAACATCCAGCCACAGACAAGGAAACAATTCATGGAAAGATGAAACAACTTGTCTTTGATCACAGAATTAAAAGGAAACAGTCCAAATTCTAACTTGAAAGTCAGTCTTCAAAATTGTGTGCTTCTTTTTACCCAAGAAAGGAGAATATGCCAGATGTGGGGGCAAATGCCTTCAATCCCAGCACTGGGGAAGCAGAGGCAGGCAGATATCTGTGAGTTCAAGGACAGCGTGGTCTACATAGCAAGTTCCAGGCCAGCTGAGGCTACATAGTTGAGGCTCTGTCTCAAAGAAAGACCAGAAGAAAGAAAGAGAGAAAGAGAGAAAGAGAGAGAGAGAGAGAGAGAGAGAAAGGAAGGAAGGAAGGAAGGAAGGAAGGAAGGAAGGAAGGAAGGAAGGAAGGAGGAAAAGGGAGAAGGAAGGAGGGAGGGAGGGAAGGATGAAATATTTTTATAGTTTAACTCTTCGATATCATTCAGGAAGATCTCCCCCATATTTACTGACTAACCTGTTCAGCGTAATGTTACTTGGGATTTGATAAGTATGATAATAGAGGTCCTATTTCCCTCTGGATGTATAGCCAAAGATTATAAAGAAAAGCTAAAACAAGATTGCTCAATTGCACAATTTCCAACCTGCTCAACAGCAAAAAATCTTCCAGATCACCATAACCTTGAGAAGCCACACCAGTCACACTCTGGAAGTACTTACCAAGTTGCTGGTCAGGTTCTCAGTGAAGTGTCTTGTCCCTGGCTCTCCAGAGAGCTGCTGTCAGGGTGAGGACTAAATACAAGCTCTATTTGAAATGTGAACTAACAGGAAGTTCTCCACAATCCCTGGGAAGATTTTACTTTTGCCTCAAATTCAAATTGTAGCTGGTATCCAGGGGGAAGTCCCGGGCATTCATTTTTCTTGTGGCTTGGCACAGAAAATACACCTGGTGTTCAGGTATCTGGAAGAAAAAAAAAAAGCAAACAAATTTTAAAAATTCCTGTGAGACTTTGGACCATGGTCACAATAACGTTTATTGAGGATAGTGCCAACCTGGCCTTGACCTTCTGCAGTGACTACCTCCAAAACAATTGCTCTGTTTCCCACCCAGCCATATCTTACTAATACATCTTCCTTGGAAGGATTGCTTTGTACTTGAAACAAAAGCCTAGCTTCTCGAATACACTGGTTCCTGACGGGTTTCCAGGAAGAGCTGCTCATTCGTGCTTGGTGGAGGGATTTCATCAGTGCGGGGAAGGGCTAGGCATACTGTCCTGCACAGACACCTGTCACCTCTCCAAAGCAAGCAAATTACATAAATGGTTGTCATTAGACCCATGCAGTGGCATTTGGCTAGCTGAGGGACTTGCATATACTTTCATTTATATGGCAAATAGGTTGAGAAGAGGAAAACATGCCAGTGAGCTGTATCTTGTCATATCACCTTTAGAAATGAAAGTACAGGGCTGGAGAGATGGCTCAGAGGTTAAGAACACTGGTTGTTCTTGCAGAAGACCCGGGTTTGAATCCCAACACCCACATGGCAGCTAACAACTGTCTGTAACTCTAGTCCCAGGGGATCTGACAGCCTCTTCTGACCTCTGTGGGCATTGCACGACATGGGTGCACTTACCAACATGCAGGCAATACACGCATACACATAAAATAAAAATAAAAAATTTTAAAAATGAAATGAAAGAACACAATCTTTACTCTCAGATTTTGTAATCCTCACAAGACTAGCTGGGCTTCCATCTGTTCTGCCATGTAGTCATGGTAGGGTCTTGCAAACTTAAGACTTTTGAATCTTTTATTTCTATCCTTCATTGGCAAAATAGGATAGATAATTCTTTCTTTTTTCCTTTGAGACAGGATCTCATTATGTTTCTGAAGCTGACCTGGAACTCACTATGTAGCTCGACTTTGTGATAAATAATTCCGACTTCACAGAATCTTAAAAAAAAAAAAAAAAAATTAAGACCTGCCTGCCAGGTATGGTGGCTCACACCTTTAATCCCAGCACTCAGGAGGCAGAGGCAGACAGATCTCTGTGGGAGCAAGGTGATCCTGGTCTACATAGGGAATTCCAGGCTAGCTGGGGCTACAGGGAGACCCTGTCATAAAAAAAAAAAAAAAAAAAAAAAAAAGAATTAAGACTTCACATATAAAAACAACAGTGCTGGTTAGCCTTCAACAAAGGGTGTGTTTTGTTGGTTCCTTTACTTGGCAAACTTCTTGGGCTCCAGGCATGCAGAAAGTGATTGATTTTATTGTTCACCTGTTGCACAGGAATTGTTTTGCTTGATTTAGGAGAAACAATTTCTTGCAATGTATTTCCTTGATGTTTTTTTTCGGGGGGGTGGGTCAGCTTTTGACTTTTTTTTTTTTTTTTTTTTTTGACAGGGTCTCCCTAGCCCCAGCCCACCTGGAACTCACCACGCCCGGTGTAGCTTTTAATTACTTTGAAAATATTCTTCGTATTTTTACATTTTGTCTTTATGAGGGTGTTACTAGTGATAGCTTTAGGTTGTTCTTACAAAGCTTGTGCTGGGCCCTACCTATCACTGTAACAGAGAGCACTAGCCAATGAAAACGACTTTACTGCTTGTAGTCCTATGTAATAATAAAAGACGGCAGATACATGGACTTCCATCTTTTCATGTCTGCCTGTCCACCCATCATTTCTTTTTGTTCTTATTTTCCAATAATATCACAAAATTCCTCAGAAAGAATGCTTAGTGTATCCACAGGTGTCTGGGAGAGCTACTTGTACTGCTGATGCGATATAAAATAAAACACCAACTTTGAGATGTATGTAAACAGACTGTAAAATATATGCACGATTTCCCTTATCAATAATCAAACCTGTAAACAAAGCTGTCAGTCAAATACCTTTGCAAGTAAGCAATCATTTATTTATTTGAAATTTAAATTATTCCATGCAAATTAATTTGCTAATTAGGCTTCTCTATTATGAAAGTACTCTTTAATTTACTAAACAGTCTGCATTGACTGATAATACCTAATACTTACTGGGAATTTTAAATTCACCTAGAATATAGTTTAATTCCCAACATTTTGTAGTGTGAGAATTATTACTTCTTCATTTCAAAAGGAGGAAACTGTAATTTAGAGATGAGGTGGCTTGCTAAGAATGCAGCTAGTGACAGAAATCAAGCTCTGGTCTCTCTTGACTCTGCAGCTCGTATTTTGTACTTTGCACTCTGTTGAGTATTGGGGTGGGATCAGTTACCCTGGCCTCTCAGCCTGCTCTGCTACTGACTGACAAGGGCGAGCTGCATGGGTTGCCAGATCTCTCATAATCCCATGTCTGCCTTTGTTCAAAGAGCTCTAAGTGTACATTCAGGCCATACTATGATTATGCCCTTGGACCCAAGCCAAGGACTTATCAGTATTCAGGCTGTCTGACCACATGTTGTATGTCCATTGTCCATGTGGATAGTACGTCCCTGTCAATACCACCAGGGAAGTAGTGACATCAATCATACTTCAGGACGTCTTTGCTATATCTGTTCTCGAATGTAAAAGGCAAAGAAAAGGCTATAGACATTAAAATTAATAATAAAGGTGTTTTATAAATTGTGATAAACGATGTTAGAGCATAAATCCATTTCCTATCCCTTGTTTGATGTCCTTTGTAAAGAGAGAGAAACTGATAGTATAAAACATTTATACAACTTTGTATGAGTCCTATCACTGAATCAATGTACATTATAGCAAGGATTGTTTGGGGCTGTAAATGAAAAAAAAACTACAGTGGTTTACGACTTATTCATCAGATGTCATACAAGATGACTGGGTAAAGCAATTTCAGTCCATATGATAACCTGGTGATAGTAGAACACTCATTTTTGTGGAGCTGATTGTCTTGGTCACAGTTGACTGTCATATGCTTCACGTTTTCACAAGAAAGCATCTCAAACCCCATGGAAGAATGGGGAGGGTGTGTGTGTATCCTCTTTAAGTCCCTTCCATGTCAGGGAGGAATATTTTTCCTACAAGGCCTGAAGACTTCCTGTTACATCTGATTGGGTTGGTCATAGGTCACCTCTAGGCCAGTCATTGAGCAAGAGGAAATGAAGTCTCCTTGGCATGGACCAATAATGGTTCTTTCCACTGCCATGACTCTACCAACCAGGAAGATGGAGAATGTCAGCTGTGCTTTGGGTCCAGCCTCTTCTCTAGAATCAACTCCTGGAATGGGTTCTATTTCTTGGACTCTGCACTCTGGGCACCTTGACCCTCTTCCACAGGGTTCTAACTCTCTACCTTACTCTCTCCCAATTCCCCTTCTGGCTACCCCCTACTCATCTGCCAGATCTCAGCTGTACCCCACTTCTCAGAGACCTCTTCTTTTTCTCTCAGGCATGTCCAGGTTCTCTCAGGACACAGGGTTTTGGCCCTGGGTGAACTCTGGGGCACACTTTGCCACTTGTCATTATTTATATGCATTTGTCTGTTCATTTAATTGATAACTGCCTCATCCTCCACCAGACTGTACCATTCTTTAAGATGATACTGTGTGTGTTTCTGCTGACCATTGTGTCTCCACAGCTAGTTTAAATGTTTATCACACTCTATTTATGTGATGTGTATATAGTATGTGTGCCAGTTGCTGTATAGATAAACAGACAAAAAGATGAACATCTTTTGAGAGCTCATAATTTGGCTAAGGAAACCCCATCTAATATTCCTGTGACATTCATCTGTATTTCACTTTCTTACCTCACTCCCGTGGCCACCAGAGGGCTTGAAATGACCCACCTCTTCCTGACTTTTGATAACTTTTCCGAATCCCGTTTTTCAACCACATCTCCCTATCTTTGCTACCCTTGCCTGACTTCAACCCTATCTTTGCCTTATCTTCTCTGAGACCTCAACATTCTTAGCCTTCTTCATTCCTTCAAAATTCTCCTGTGCTTTCTGACCTTTTTTCTAGCTGAAACTGTCATTCCCTTACTCTCTGCAACAGTTGACAAGCGAGGCTGGGCTTTGCACAAGAAAACCACTGAGGGGATTGAGTGAGCACCAGACCCAGGTGCTGTCCTCCCACTGGCTGGACGGTGACCCCCCCCCCAGTAGACTGATACCCAAGGCTTTGCTCAAAACAGGCAATAGCAGTTAGCCAAGCCTTGTTGAAATTCTCTCTTCCCTCTAAGTTCTTCTTTTCACCTTGTTTTTCTGCCCTAATCCATTTTCCAGGTCCTACTCATTTGCTTCTCTACACATGCAGTCCTCACATTTCAGAACCCTCAGAAGTCCTTTCTCAGACAAGTCCTTCTATATTTCTCCACGCTGGGAACATTGCACATCCACTGAGGTTGGTGAGGACAAACGTGGCAAGGTTTGTATTCCTCTGCTGTGCGGCATTCTGCTGTTCAGGAGTAGCTGTGGGGGACTGTATGGAGAGGAGCTTTCCTCCTGGGCTAGCCTTTGCTGGGGGGATGTGACAAAAGAACAAAAGAGCCAAGGAGTTAAGTATACTCACAAAGGAGTGCTCCAATGACGACCCATGGAATCAGAGGGGTATCAGGAGGAAAGACATGGACATAAATGAATAAAGGAGACGGGAAGGGGCTCCTGGGGTGGGCATCTTGGTGAGATCAAGGTGATTGTAAGAGTAGGAGGTGAGTCTTGAAAAGAACATGTCTGAGTGATTTTAAAAGTAGAGCAACACCTGGGGGAGGGTGGTAGGTTGTATAAAGGGCCCTGGGCTCAATCCAGAGAACCTGTGCCCCTTAAAGTAGAGCAACTGCAGGTAGCTGAACTGTTCAGTACAGAAGATCATTGGCAATGAGGCGATCAAGG